TTCGCTGCCATGCTGGTACAAATGGGTGCAGTATCTACAAGAACATTATGTAGCTGGAGAAGCATAAGCTCACTCTTCTGCTTAACATTATAAAGTCCGCGTCCTAGCTCGTCCTTTGGCAGCTACAGTATTTCCAAGCATACAGGTTCCTTGTGAATTCCGTATTTAATTAGTAACTGTCTGTTATCGTGATCTATAGCTTTCAGCCTTTCGAATCCAGCTTGAGCACTCTGACGTAATAATTTATTAAACTTATGGCGTATTCATTCACAGCCTTGATAGAGTTCTTGCCATTTTGTGCAGTTTCGGCTAATCGCTCAGTTTTCACTAAAATCTCTGTTTTATGGTAGCTTTCAAATCTAGATGCAGTAGTCCTGTCTTCTACTATTCCAAGGTATTTATAGCCTTGAGTTCCTTCCAATAGCGCTGCTTTATCAGCGCATACCTCGGTATTAGTGGCTGACTTTGCTGAATTTACTTCTAGTCCTACCACATCAAGAAACCTTTCAACTTCTGCCATAGATTTCACGATATCTTTATTGGTCGCAAAGATCTTGAGATCATCCACAAACAACTGATAATTCGTAATGTCCACCCCTTGATCAGTTGGAACCGCCACCTTTGGGTACCTTATATTGAGCCTACAGCTCAACGGGTCCATGCACATAACGAACAACAGCAGAGTAAGGCTGTCACCTTGAAGGGTTCTCCACTGTATTTTTCTCTCCATTATGGTTTCTCTATTGCTTTTCGGTCAGACTTCTATAAAACCGTCTTCTGAATAGCTCGACTCTGGCGTTTTGTATTTTGAATGCACTTCGACTCTCATAATTTTATTTTACTTTCGTGAACTTTCATACGGTTTGTCAATATGCTTAAAGTTTCATGAAAGTCACGCCTAAGAGAAAGTATGAGATTCATCTCCCTCATACACTTCTTGGCTTCTTTTAAATCTTTACCTCCAAGTTTTTCACCGGACAAAGTCCGTCCTATGAGAGATTTGTGAAAATTCAACAAGCTTATCTTCTTTTCTATGCTTGCTTTCCACC